GGGGCTGTTTTTTGATCATTTATCAACCATATGATAAATATTTTTAAACACCGATATATACCGGTACCTATTTTGATTGATAATAATGAATTACTAATTATTTCAAAACTAGTGGTGCCTTTTTTTCATTTTGTACCCCTTTCCTATTGTAATATATTAAATCGAATCATTTTCAATCGAATCAATATTGGAATTAAATTGTGGTTCCCACTACACAATAAAATCATTGAATAAAAAATTGCCTATTTTATAGATTTCATATATCATAAAATTTTGTATTACCCTTACCAGCATTAATGATTTGCTGAGAATCACATCCCGCGGATTGACTCAAGGGCAATAAATTGTCATCAAGGTCACCACAACTTGAATTATTTCATCTTATGTGAACGGCTTTCTTGTTTCAAGTTTGTCCAATATTATACCACCCCTCTATTGTGTTTTTCCCCAAGACAGATGGTGTAAAAATTACAATAGACTGTGGTGCTTTGTGGTTGCTTTCAAGTTATATCAATTTGTCTTATTGTCGCTGTAATGAGAGCACAAGTGAGTGCATCTGACAAGGAAATTAGAATGGAATGTATTGAAATTCTTATTATTTTTATACAGACAATGCCGTTTTCGAATAATCATCGAACTTCTGATCAATCATGTAAATGAATGAATCAATCAATAGCCATATCATAATATACCATGTAGGAATACTAATATTTTTTTTGCTATGAACCAGGGTTGTCCAAAACGAATCGAATATTCGAAATTATTCGAATATCAAGGTATTCGAATACATTTTCGGCTCATTTCCGAATAATTACGAATAGTAGTCACTTTTCGCCGTAAACACGGTGTTTCGTTTTACCGGAATCTTCAAACGACTTTTTACGCTTTCTCACGTATTGTAATGACGATGAAATAGAGTCGGCATTTTGATTGTTTATATTCAGCGCGAATGTACGTCGCATAGTGTTGCGACACATTTGCACGTTTGCGTTGGTGGACATTGCCGACATTCGTCTTTTAATTCACGAAATCATTTCCATTAGTCGAAAAATCGACAATCACCGTATTTCCCGGCTAATAAGTCGCTTTTCTTGACCCAATTTTGGCTTGATTTTTTGGGGGGAGGGGCGCCTTATTGAGAAAGCATGTTTATTTTATTTCTATGTGGCCTGCTTATTTTTCGCATTAGTCTTCTCAAGCATAATTTGTGTTTAACCTTATATTTGGTCCTTATGGGTCTGCCAATCATGATATTTAATCGTAGGCCGGTTATCGTTACTTAAAAGAGAAAACACGGCCCCCGCCACCGAGATAAAGTAAGTGATTTATGACCCTTTGGTTTTGCCGATTCAGCAGAACACGACAGGGACAGGAAAACACAGCTGTGAAATAACCCGTGGACGTACAGTGTGTTACTTATCACATTCCAAAATTATTTCAACATTCGGGTTAATAGGTTGTCCAAAATGATTGCCGTTTTACAACTTAAACAATTTTTCTACCCGTCTTATTGGAGGCCTGTATGGAAAAAAACCTTTTTTGAGTGCTAAAAATAGACATCCTCCTATTTGCCATGTGGACATATTAGCCCGGAAATAAGGTATTTATAGCCGTCATTGTTACGATATCCAATAAATTGTCACAAGTTGGAAAAACAAGTCATTTATTAGAAAATAATTTCTGGCAAATATTTCTGATAACGATAGTTAAAAGTATCGATCCTTTAGCAGGATGATTTTTTGTTGCGCAAAATAATCCAATCCATGACTGGTACCAGCATTTAAAATGTCATGCCGTATTAATTTAATTCTGTTCAATGTAACTCATGGTTGTATCGACAATATGTGGACATAAAATGTGTGGTAAACTGACCGATAATATTAAATATTGATTTCTATTTTTATATTGACAAAATATTGAAAGTATTAATACCAAATACCACGGGTATTTGTGGACATGAAATACGTGGTAAACTGCCCAATTATAATTAATTTCGGATTCGTATTTACAAAATAATAAAACTATTATAATTCTAAAATGCAACGGCGATCTGTGGCCTTAAAATGTGTGGTAAACTGCCCGATTTACCAACATTTGAGTTATGATAATAGAATTAAATTAACACGGTTAGGCATTTTAAAAATATAATTAGTTTTTGATTCTTATTTTACGAAAAATTGTCACAAGACGGAAAAAGAATTTATACTTTATCCCACTCTTGGGAACTAATTTGGATAATGTTTGCCATTGGTTTGTATTTAAGAGTATGGACTTTTTACTAGGATGATTTTGTGTTACGCAAATATTCAAATCCATCATCGATACCACTATTGCCATATTAATTTAATTCTGTTAACATGACTCTGGTATATAAAATATATACTGCAATAATCTGCAAATATGAAATGCCTGGTAATATAGCTAGGTTGTAACTTGTAGATAGCAGTTATTCCATTGCTTATTATATGGAAATTCTTACATACATTTAAATAAGCTTCAATTAGTGGATTTTATTTTCGAAGTATTCGAAATTTCATATTCGAAAAAAATAATTTCGAATGTATTCGAAATAGTGAACTATTCGATATTGGCCATCCCTGCTATGAACCATGTTGAACTATGAAGTAATGAGTTGAACATGAAACTGTCAGTGCTAATTTAGTATTGTACTTTTTAAATAAATAATTGTGCAAAAATATTTTTTTAATAGCAATCAGGGTTTTTAAAATAAATGCTGACCGAATAATTTTGCTGTCATGAAATTTGTTAATAACTAATTTGAGCCACTATTCCAATTACCTTACCATATTTTAACAAGACTTGGTTGATTATGATAGAAAATTCGGTACTCCCATTTGGGTCCCTTAGTATGCTTACCATGTGAGGCCATAATTTTATTCCGATTTTCCTAATTTTTTACTTCTATTACGACTTACGAGTTCAGGGATTGTTTGTTAGCCAAGTGAATATACCTCCTGCCTATAGGCTTTCGTTCCTCCACACAACTTAATGTAAAGTAGGCGAACAAAATTAGTTACCTCCATATTGGCACACATACTTCTGGAGCGCCGTAAATTCTTCATATCTTTTAAATTTGTATTGCCATATCATGCTGTGTTATTCATCTTACTTCAACACTGTGGTTGTAGAAATTATTTCATGCTATAAATACAATAGATTATATGCTGTCCAGGTAACATCCCACACAGACACTTACAAATGTGACACAAAGCAAACTTTATCTGTTTCAATCTCTTGACGTAACCTTTTTGTTATTTTAGAACACTAAAATATTCTAGTATCCTGTTCACTATTCAGTTTAGGTTTAGACTTACAGAAGAGTTGGTCAAATAATTTGTAAGCAAGCGTTGTCTATATATTTCATGTTGTGGGATTTGTTTCATAGAGTATGCTACTGGGTACTGGAATTACAAAAGATTTTAATTATTATACTTATTGTCTGAGATTTAAATATAAAACAATCAATTATAATTAGGCATTTTAAATGATGTGAATTCATTTTAGTTTACGGTTATTTTTTATATTACAACTTATTTTATGAGCTGTTTGCTTATAACAAGTCACTGCACAAGTGTCTGATAAATAAGGAATTAGCCACCTTATTTGAGAAGCATCCCGAATTGTTCAATTCTTCCAGCTATATATCTCATTACATAAAATCATGAATAAACATACTATAAAGTAAACTGTAAATATCAATTCTATAGATGGTAATGAGACATTTCAGATTATTTGTAGAATCTCAATTAAGACACTCAAGGTTATATTGAGGCAGCTGCTTATGAATTGAAGGGTGTTATTTTTATCGCTTCAGTTGTTTGGTCAAGAGGTTAATATTTGTCTTTTCTTAACTAATTAATTATTAACAATTCTCATTATGCCCGAGTGCTGTATTGAGGAGTTGATTTGGGTCCATTTATTCATGTCTCATTTTAAGCTTTGTTAGAATATAGAGCAGGTGTGTCTTATGGATTTCATATATACTTTCGTCTATATTGATAATTAGCTATCCTACATTTGTGTATAATTGAATGACTTATAACCTTATTTATTTCAGCCACTGACTATATTTGTGCTATTATCCTGTGTGTTTGATGGAATAATATTATTAATAGTTTTGTTATAATACCATTATAGTGTGATTCAGAAAAAGATTGTATAATTTCTTCAAAACAATGAATAAATGATAGTTATTTAATGTTTAGTAGTAAATTGTATATTTTTTGTTCATTCGTTATTTAGAATGTGCTTCATGGCTGTTTAGTTTTTCAACTTATCAAATAAAAAGGTTACTGGTCATTGAATAAGAAAAAAAGGGATCATTCCAGTTTGACTAAGCTTACCTGTGATATATACATTTGATGAGGCAGTTACGATTACCAGTAGATGGGGGCAGTTCTTTTCAAAAACCTGATTGATGATAACTAGATCATTGCAGCAAACACTTTACTGTTTCACCTATTACTTGAATTTGAGATTATAATTTTTTTTGTACAACATGCGAGGATGTCCAAAACGAATCGAATATGCTATGATTGAATACATATGAATTTGTTACATTAAATATAGGCAATTAATTTGGTAATAATTCAGAATTGCCCATACTAAAATTCGTCATTTTGAGTACGGTAATTGATATCTGATAGTAGGACTCCAAAATAAACCTAGATCAACTTCTGAAACTGTAGAAAAGATTTAATATTATTAAAAATAGCGTTCTGCTTTATTAAATATAATTTATGTGAATTTTTTGTTAAAAATGATTTAGGTACCGGTAGTTTATTTTTGAATATTCAAAAATATTATTTTAGATTGTATTTGAAAGAATTTGATTGTAATTATATTGTTAAAATGGTTTAATAGTAACTTTACACACGCTGCATGGTGTCAAATAACTGTAGTTTGCTACAAAATATCTTTTTTATATACTGGTTTATTACTTCGTCTCTCTTTACCATAATTTTTTTTATATTTTACAGACCATGAACCACCAGAAATTGTTGCTTTGAGTTTAATTATAAAACTACATGGTGGAAGTTGCAGAACTCTTGCCCAAGAACCATTTACCTATTATCTTGATCAGACGTGTTACCTAGCTAGATATCTTGCGGACAGGTTTGTTAAAATTTTATTTACGGTCGAATGCACTCAAGTTGTGTGGTTGCTCTTGAATCACTTGGTGGTCTTGAATAATTTTTCTATGCCAGAAATATTTTGAGGTCACTCATTTATAAATTCCTCACATTCAAGATTTGTGAACTTAAAATGATAATTGTAGTTTGCCAACATGATTTACTTTTTGCTAATAAATTGGTACCTTTTACTTAGAATTAATATCAAAACGAAATGTGAAAGATATCGAGTTAGAAATCTCATATTTGCTCTTGATTATGTGCGAAAGTTACATCAGTATTTAAATTGTTTATAATATGATGCGTTTAATCTTTCTGATGGCTATGAAATTACTAGAGAATGCAAACATTTTATACCTTAATAACTAACATTTTTAACATTGTTAATTTTAAGTTTACTAAATTAGTTTAAGACTATTAAAAGCCATTCCTCATTGTATCTATTTGGCAAGGATCATCTTTGTTTGAATTTTTGAAGCAAGATTGATTATTTCCTATGGACTTTTCACATTTATTACTTTCAGCTTCTTCCATTAATATTATTATTGCCTCCTTGGTCATTAAATTAAATAAAGTTAGTGCATTATACATCAGTTAGGGCATTATAAATTGTTTCATTTTACAATTCTGAACCTAATATATCGTTATCAATTTATTTAATTAAGGTATTTGTTATGAAGCCACTAGGTATCTTCCCGTGTTCCTGATCTTTTATTTTTTTATAATTTTCCGTATCACTTAACAAGAATTAAACATAGTGACGGGTAGCTCATTATTATGCTCTCCTTGGATGTTTGTGTTCCCATATTACTATGATTCGTCATCCTTAACATGGTCCCCTGGAGTTCCTTTGAATAAAGGATTAGACAGGATTAATATATAATTATGTATTTGGCTGTTGTAACAATGTAGTCACTATTACCTAATTGCTCAATGCTTATGTTTCAAAGCATAATATTTTGAATTAAAAATACATATGTGACAATGTTGAAATTAATAATAATGGACAATAAAAATTAATGACCTCTCACTTCATTGTATTTGGGATATGGCATTTTTTCAATATTTGCATTTATATTATTTCCTGAACTAAAACTGGTTGAAGAATATTTTTGGCATTGATTGGTTTTTAAATAAATAAATAGTGTCTGTCGTCCAATCTTTTCTTACTTTTTCAGCGTTCATGATTTGGAATCGTTAGAAGATTGGGATTATATCAGAGGTCCAAAATTCTCGCTCGCCGATGAGAATTTTCCTACATTAGATGAGAGATTGACCAGTGCATTTCAACATCTTATTCTTCCTACAACCTGGAATTTACTGGGAGATCCAACCACTGGTTTGTTCACTTTCCTTTACTAATTTTTCCTTGACTACTTTTCATAAACATCAAAGGTTTTCGTTCTTTCTGATGCTTTCAAACACTGTTCGGTATGTCCGTGGTGTGGCTTTGGCATCGTGCTACATATTAAATTGGCTCTAAATTTTATTAGTTTATAGTTTGTTTAAAAAAAAATAATGTTTTCTACATGATTTTAGATCATTTTAATTTCTGTGAATAGATTTCATGTGGAGTAAAATTATGATATTTGCCATTCTTATCATGTTCAGGATTTTTATTAATGAAAAAGAACCTAACAATTGCCTGAATTACAACATTTAGAAATAGATATAATAAAATTTTAAATCAGTGTTAGTTACCAGTGATGCAGCAAATTTGATTAATAATAACATTTCATCTGATGCCTTTGTTAGAAATTGAACAAAATTAATAATTTTTAGTCGATATTCCTCGAGAAACATTGTTTCATTTCGCTGCTCGGCTCGGATTATCAAGTTTCGTCACATTGCTGCTGGAAAAGAGAGGAGCTGCTGAATGTTTACAGATTCGCAACAAACACAATGAACTTGCCAAAAATATTGCTCGTAGTAAAAGTTACGATGGACTTGCTGATTTAATTACCGAGTAAGCTTGATTCTAGTTCCTAATTGAATGAATTTCAAACTGTAGGACAAAGAGTGCTATTATTGTTCTCTTACCTTATATTCCTTTTTTTAAATTGTTTATGATCATTTTTTTTTTTATAAATATTTTGTTTATACAGAAGCTAAAATTTCAAAATATTTTAATTCGCACAAATTAAATCTTAAGTGTACTATTCTATATTATGATGATCATTCACCCCTTCTGCTCTGAACAGGGCCCTGTAACAGCAGCCATTAAGATCTAATGATATGTAAGAAGCAACTGGACCCAGAATCTTTCTGGTTAATAAGCATTGCCTACCCAATTCATTACGCTCTGGCTCTGGGTAAGGTATTTGGCATGTGATTTGAAGTTGAGATGTGTAACCAGCAATGCTAACATAGTTGATAGTCAAGCACCTTAATCACCAGGCCTAAAACTATTGGTTTTTGGGGGCATATGTACAACTGTTGCAATTTTCTGTTCCGCCAAAACTTCATTTGGACGGATTGCAGCTTCTTCAACTCGAATCAACTTTTTGATCTATAATAATTGGGCATAGCAATATGTAAATTATCAACACTATGAGATTTTAAGTTTGCAAATTTGTTGTGGGCTACAATTTCCTGTATTACTTCCTGATTGGACCATTGATGTCAGCCATTTTATTAGTATTGGTGCCAAATTGGTTGTTTTATAAGTCGTCAATAACCATTTTTATGATCTCAATAATGGTGATTTTAAGTTCAATTTTTTCAAATGATTTTTGTTCTTTATAGTCCTCATGCACACGGGGTAATACGTTGGGAAAGTACACATCGCATGACACAATCAACTACAATAAAACGTCACAGTTTTGGAACAGTAACAACATCAACAGAAATGCAGAACGGAGATTTTCCACCTATCGGTAAGTTTAATGCATCATATTTTTTCTCTTATATCATTTTATATTGTTTTTATTATGCTCAATAGATGTACTGTATTTGACGAGAACCCCTTATTAAGAACGTTTTAGGATTATATGTCTTAATTTTTTTCCAAGAGTTCAACACCAAATATCTGTTTTTGTAATTAGTCTTTATTGTGCAGCATTACAATGCAATAATGAAAATTTGCCATAGTCAATTCGCATGTCCATCTACCAAATCATGGCGACATAAATTTTCTCGTTGATAACGTAATAGTAGATTCTATGTATCAATGGTTGTTCCTATATAGGTCTTTTCCTGCCTTATTATCACTACAAATTTCATTGGATATGCAGAATGGGAAAGAGTCGGTCTATAATTCTCTGGGCTTCGTATGAAGCAAAAGTACAAAACACTATTCTAATTATCATATAACGTTTTATAGAGGAGGAAATTGATGCAATTGTTCGTGATCATCCACCTCCTACACCTGATAAACCAGAGTCAATAAAAAACAGTGAAGAAAATCACAACAACAGCAACAACATTGATGACAAAGTACACAATGGAAATTACGATATTCCAGCTGGCTTGGAAGTCACAAACACAACAAATGCAACATGGGGTTCTGAGGACGAATCATCAGACTTTGTGGAACTCCCTCCTCCAGTTCCACCAAAACCGAAAGAATTATATCTCGATTATGAGTATGATAGTGTAGAAAACGGTGATCACTTGGAATATACTCAAAACGAGACCAGTTCTTATTTCTCGCCAAATTCTATCGACTATTCAGAAGGAGATGCAATACTATTTCAAGGGTCGAATATAAATCCAGATGAAGAAATAGAAGAAGATATATTAGGTAAGTTGAAAGAGTGTGGCTGTTCTCAAGTACAGGTGGTTCAAAGTTCCAACTATGTCTGACTATGTACAATATATAGAACAGGTAAACGGGAACTGTATGCGGAATGTTGCGAGAAAGTGTAGTCATTAGTATTTCGATTAAACAAGTTTTTATTGTTGCATAATTACTTGTAAACTCAAAATTCTTTTGAATTTGATGCTTGATGTGTGACAACTGACAAGCAAGAACTTTGCCACATCATAGAGAAAATCTCCTTAGATTTGAATTGTATGGAGCTATGTAATTTGATATTGCAACGATAATCAGTTTTCTTTTAAAATTCTCAAAATTACCATTTTTCTTATTTTTATTGACGATGTGTAGCAGCTCAAAATGCTATTAGAATTATACTTGCTAGTGTTTATTTTTGACTAATGTGATTGGAATAAGATTGATTTTTTTTTTCATTTCAGAAGGAAATCTTCGTCATCTTCAACAGATCAGCACTGATATTCACTATATTAGGCAAAAAGATATCGCAAGATTAAAACAAAGCAGTCCTGCAGACGCTGGTAGACTCAGTAATTCTTGCCCTAATCTTGGACAAGACTCCTCATATGTATCAAATGGTAAGGATCTCTTTAAAGTTTGCCAATATCATTTTAAGCTTCGCTCTACTGACTTGACAGCAAATTTTTTATGTCTTGTTCATTCTGAATCGTTCATTTTGAATCAAATTATTGAAAACTACAAAAATCAGTGACTGTTATTAATTTTCATATCAGTATTTAATTCATAAGAAATCAGGTCTTAGTGAACCCCTTAAAATTAGTTTGAAGTCCAACTACCGGTATTTATTAGTAGCAAGTAATGTAAGAGACCATGTCAATGAATATTTCCTTTATCATTTAGATTTTGAAAACAGTTATAATCTGGGCCGAAGTTCATATAAAACGTATTTTCATTGGCTTGTAAAAATATTTGCAGTGACTGTTTTGTGATGTTGTATTGACTTGTATACAATGTTCAATGGACATTTGATAAATTGTGAGATTAAGTGGCGTTCGCTACTTAACAACTACTCAAAGAATGTGGATAATGTACAACGATCATGATTCTTCACATACCTCTAACATTTAAACAAAAGAGTTGTTGTTTTTGTCGATTCACTCTACATTTTTCTTTTATCATCCATTATTTTTAAATGTTGTATAAATTTCAAAGAAGTATAGCTAGAATAGATCGGTCTTCTAGGTTCAATCAAGTGTTTCTTTGAAAATCCATTATGCATTCATTACTAAAGCATCGTTTGATCTCATCCATTCGCTATGATTAATGATTATATTCGATCTTGCTTGAAAAAGTTTAATTTGGTTTAAAACCAGATCGTATCATACATGGCTGAGTATATCTACCCACACTTGTTTATACCAATTTTATATGTTCAACTACTTTCAAACTTGGGTTTTATATAATATGGTATAATTATCTATATGTTACACCCGATTCTTCATATATGTCTCACTGGAATTATTCCTAGAGATGACTCAAATTCATTTCAGAACATCTCTTTTATGTGGTTTTTAACACACCAAACCCCTGTTTGATTTTGTATTGAAATTAATGACCAACCTTGATTCATAGAATAGGCCTACTATATCATTTTAAAACCCTTGCTTTACGATTTGCTTCCTTGTGATGTAAATGACAATTCAGTAATCCTCTCTAAACAGTGAAACCTAATCAAATGGTATCAATTACATTTCTGGAGGCGATTCACTATACTCCATTTTCTTTGTCTTTGTTGACCTAAAAATAGGGATAACGTTACTCCTATATATGTTGCCTATATATGCTGTTAGGTACTTCAAATAATCCTCTATTATTGACAAGACCCCTTTGGGTCACTGCATTATGTTACATTATTACCTGTATTGTGTAATTATACCAGTCAAAATAATTTCACATTTGAAATACAAATCCTAATTATGCAAATGTACAAATAGTTCTATTTTAGATTTTTGAAACATTCATTCAAACATTCTTCTAATTCTGACATTATGCATTTGGATACGATTTCTAAACCTTTGCCAAGTCAGTATGCAAAGTTCTCTTGCTTTTAATTTAGATTACTGGTAAGCGAGTGCTGTCCCAATTGAAAACCAAGTGGATACTCATTTCTCTGATTTCATTATGTTAAATTTATCATTACTCAATTCTGGGTATAATGCTTTTATCAGAGAAATTTCCATTTAAATTATTTTTTTCAGATATGGATATCTTTCCATCACATTTTATATTAGAAACGATCAAAATTTCATTATTTTGTATGCCTGGCAGGGAAAATCAGATAACAGCTGAAATATTATCCTAATAATATCAAGTAATGATTCCAATATGGATTGAATATATTTTTTAATCAAGTTTATATGTTCGGAGGGTATTCATTTCAGTTCTCTTTGTCATAACATATACTTGTTTTTATAGTAGGTTGTTAATCGTTGTTACAAATAACCTCTTGAAGTCGGTTCCCACTCATTTTGAAATAGTTTCACCTACTTCTGCTTTTATTTACATTTTGAATTATAAAGGGCAACTTCGGTTTATGAAGTAACAGGCAACATGATTAGGTTTCCATTCGAAACTACGCTTGCTTCTGTTAACATTTTGAAGTGACACTCTCGGAGCTCATGTGATATCAAATATTTTGCTATTACTCAGAGGCAATAACAATGGCGGCAAAATGATACCTCATATCATTCCACCAATTAGATTTTAAATCTTTTATGGCAATGAAGGGTTAATATCTCACAGTTACAGATTTGTTTAATTTTGGGCTTAACACATTGTTGCTACCGAATTTCTTTCTGTTTAATTGTAATTACAAACCTATGTGTGGTGTATACTTAACATTCCATTTCCTGTCAAAGGACTCTAAAATTAAAATGTGTCTCTCTGGCTTGATGAGAACTTTATTTTGATAAGAATAAATAGTGTAGTAATAAACACAGAATCACCATTCTACTGTTTGTCTGTTAAACTTACCAGTAATTATTAGCATCGACATCGAAAATGTTGCAACTTGCAAGTATACTTACAAGCAAAATTTAAAGACTTCATCCGGATAAATTTGTTATTTGATATTATGTAAATATTTTATAAGAATGTATTCTAAAAATTAATTTATTCCATTTTGCATTGTTTCAGGCATTTTCAAAACGCATCAAAATTAGTTTCTAAAAACCATTCACACAGCGCCTTCTAATAAAAAGGAATTTTTTTCAGTAGTTGTATAGTAGGCTATATTATACTATAAATTAGCCAGAAGGGCATATTTGATAACAGAAAGTATCAAGACATTATCAATGACATATTTTAATGTTACTCTGGTGCCATCTTGTGATAGTTTGTTTTACTAATCATGACTGCCATGTACACCTTGTTGAACTCTATGTGAAGCTGTTATATATATTTTAACATGCTTTTGAGTCCTAAAATCACATAAAGCAACATGTATGTTATTAAATGTGATTGAGTCCTTTACATGCTTTTCAAGTACGATCGATTATACATGACCACTGACAGTTTGCTGTATCATTCGTCCAAGCCTGGTTGTTCGTACATGTGAACCTTATTGCCTCAAATCGATTGAGAGCCTGAAACCTCTCATGAGGCACTTCAGAGTTTGAGACAATGTTCGTGCTTTTTGAGTTGCTGGAATCGATCGTCATTGACTATAGACTTTGTCTTTGTCTACTGGCTCTGTCTAAAACGTTTTTATCGCTTTTCAACTGGCAGAGGTTTTACGCTTAGATTTAATATTTCCATGTTGGTTAGGTAGATTTAGGCTGTGTGATTTGGTGTCGATAGGAATTAGGAAAGAAATGTCTAGGTGTAGAAAATACCGCTATTCTAAAAAAAAGAGAACATTAGTCGTGTCGCACAGTTTGAGTTCTCTTGGTAAGTTGAAATTATGATCAAACTGACTTTCTTCTAAAACATGGTTCGAGCTCTTTCTACCAATGGCAGCTAAATGAAACACATTTTAAAAATTGTTGTACATGGTTTTACTTGATGTCCAAATTTTAATCATCAATTACAAAGAGATGTGAAGTCTGCCTCATATAGCCTACGAGAATTTATTAGAGCTTGTAGAATGTTTAGACTGGATAGCAATTCATCATTGATACTGAATGACAATTAGGATTCCCGCATATTTCTTGAAAATTTGTATATTAGTGTGATTTGCCTCGATGTGGCCTTAAAAAATCATTATGGCTTGTATCATAAATATGACTGAGATGAATAAACTTTGAATATTCAAAATCGCAATATTTGTAATAAATATTGTTTATGTGATTACTCAGGGTCTGAGGCATGGTTTTAGTTTTTTAGTAATTATTTAATAACATGTAATAGTATTTTCATCGATTTACTACATTTTTTCAGACACAGACTACCTTGAGAATTTTGATTCACCTGCAGCAGCTAGAAGTAGACAAGCAATATCATCTGGTGTTGGATTTCAGCATTTTGATGCAGAGGTCGGTTCACGTTTATTTTGGTATCTGTGATCAATGCAAATTTTTGATGTAATCTCACTTCATATATGTATATTGGAGCATTTTTCGAATGATTATGTCTAATTGTAAACTGTGGCAACTGGAAACTACTTTTGTCTTCAATCAGACTCTTCATTACATTCTTTTGCATCGTTACTACGCCCATACAAGTCATAATAGAATCCATATCATCAAGTATTTCATACACAAACCAAAATATTTTATTGATCATGTTTATTTAATTTTTTTTTAGTTTCAATCACCTGTTGAAACATATGGAAGTGCAGATGATTTGTTATCAAAGCCACATAACAGATCTCCATTATATATACCTGACCCACCTCCACCTCCATTAATAACTATGGATCAAAATCAAGATGAGGTATGTAATTTCGGAGATATTCTACTCATATATAGAATAAATAGGTTGGACTTGTCAAACGGATTTGACTTGCCAAAAAGACATGCATAATTTCAACACTTGAATTTTTTTTGGATTGGAAATATGACAGGTCTCCAACCTGCAAAAACAGCATACCTACTATCCCAAACTTTAGACCACAAGTTGATTGTGCTCTTAACTTACAAGTGAGTTATGAGTTTAATGTTTTGCCTCCTCCTTGCTTCCTTACATTTTACTATTATAAATATACAAATAGGTAATATCTAATCCTGTTGTATACATTTTAAACAGATTCCTGTTGAGGAAGAACACTTTCTTGAGGATTGGGAACAAGAGGAAGAAGTTGAGGAAGAGAGACCAACATCACCAAATAAGCGACCACACAGTTGGCATTCTGTTGAAAAATTAAATGAGTTGAAACCTGATAATAAAGGAAACGAAATTGTTCATTCACATAAAAGAAGGTTTGCTAACAGTTGAATGTATTATTCTCTGTGAATTTTCCAAACATACTAGTTTTATGTTGTTTGGCTCTATGGTCGACACATTGTGGAGAGACTTCAGAACACACCCTCCAACTCACCTCTTGACTGCATTGTACATGTTCATAGGCTCTAATGTCTAATCCAATGGAAAGTGAGATGATTCATGGAAATTTATGTTAACTGTTCTCATACCATGGACTAGTGCCTGGACAAGAGGCGGTTGTTCATCATATGATAAAGCCAACTTAATGCCATTTCTCAGCATAAATATGAAAATCCTATCTTATTCTGGTTTTAGCAAAAGTAATCTTTCAAAAACAAAAATATCAGAATTGTTATGATTTAGCATGATGATAGGTATCTGAACAAACATCGTTTGTCCCATTTTGAGTTTCATGCTAATAACTAGAGCTGCAAATATGTGATATGTATCTATATTCTATAGCAATAAGACTTTGCTTAGTCGTTTGAATTTTGTGTTTTATTTAGCCAAAGTTATCAAGGTGATGAATTCTCGAACAAAGATTCAATGACAGAACTAACACCAGAGGAGAAAGCAGAACAGGCTGTAAGTCTTTAAAAACAACTTTTTGTTGAAAATTTTCACATATTATAATCATATGCCTATTGTTATTACTGCAGTTTATGCATACCAAGAAATGTTCATGGATTGTGATTAGAGCTCGACCGATATCACTTTTTGGCACCGATACCGATAACGATATATCGGCCAACTAGTGACCGATAACCGATATCGACATACCGATATCTACAACCTGAACCCGCAGTAAATACTAGTAAGAAAAATTCAGTTTCAATCAATCGAAAGTTTATGTTGAAAAATAAAGCAGTCCTACACAGTGCTTGCATCATTGATAAAAGTTTCACAGCAAATAATAAGAACACACACAGAAGGCAATGTTCGAAAAAACCAAGCACAAAAGAAAAAAGGCAGTCAGTAAAAAGGTTCTGAAAGTCCATTTTAATCCATACAGTAGTAAGTGGGAGTAGGCTTGCACGTAATTTACGGAATTACGTAATTATTTCGAGTTACAAATTACGTAAAGTCGTAATTATTGGTCGAGCGCTTTCGCGTTTGAAACGTACTCCTTCAAAGCAGTCAATTCCGTCGATTGTAAAAATGAAGGTTTAACAAGTAGAAGAAGTTACAGTTACGGTATTCGCTCCGTTTTTCTTTCTCTTGTTACGCAGGTGGGGGAAGGCATGACGCGTTGCCACCCCGTTTGAGCGTTTGGTTTCACGGTCAAAACGATATTATTATAAGCGTTATCACCGTAACGCAATTAACACCGACAGGCTTTTTGTCTTCACGATTTGGTATCTTTTTTATTCGGCGCTGATAATGATAAATAAGAATGTGTGATAGTTGATTGTAATTCCGGAAGGCGTATTTTTCTTTCTCTCCGTGAAACAGACATGAAACGAATTTTACTGCCGCTATGGGCCCTCAAAAGGAGAGAAGGCTACTTTCTTTTCCCGACTCAATCACTTTTATTAATACAAATCACGGCGCATTAAAAAACAAAATAGAATTTATTAGCATTAATTTACAACGAGTTACGGGTAAGAATTTATCGCCGGCTAAATAATTAATATTTGATCTAAATTTATCGCAAATAATGTTATAACATTTAGGCCGCGAAATAATTTGATATAAAATGAAGCTTGGTAATCGGAATATCGTCAATAATTCAGCATCAATAATTATTATAAAATGCTAACTAGGTAGCAAAGTCGGATAATGTAAAAAACGTAGCAATAACAAGTCTTCGTCGCGAGGCAAGCGCAGGTATAATCAAACGAGAGAATGCGCTTGTCGTTGATTAATAACTTAGAAACCCGAAATTTTTATTCAATACGAAAGTCGATTTTAAAAAAGCCAACTATCGTTTCATAAATATCCGTATACCAGTGTCGGTAATGATAAAATTGATCACATAAAATTGGGACGGGTAATTTGCGAAGATGATAAAGGAAAATCACAGCCAACACAAAAGATAAAAATCAGAATAAATTTAATTTGAATTCACTCCTTGATATTTGTCTTTAACATCTGTCGCCGGCGTGTAGTACTGTCGGTAATATGAAAACCAATTTCGATGTCCCGTTCGGAAAAGAAGTGGATTCAAATGGTTGTTATGATAGGTTTAAATGTGTGAAAAAATATCGCAATTACGGGGTCATTACGTAATCAATTTTGCCGTAATTACAGAATTGATTTTCGTCGATTACGTGCAAGCCTAGTTGGGACGCAAGATATTCGAAGGCGAGGATTTTGCGCCGCACGAAGAGATAAAAGAGAGAGAGAAATATAGAAGAGAACTCTGTTCACTGAAAGGCAAAATGAGAGAAGCGAAAAAAAGAAAACGCTCGGCCGCAGATATTTCCCGGGCAAAAATACTCATTTTTTAGAACGTGGAAAAGCGACTAACACTGATATATATCGGCCAGATATATCGGCCGGTTGGGCCGATATGATATATCGGCAAACACGCAATATCGGCCCGATATATCGGTTGGCCGATATATCGGTCGAGCTCTAATTGTGATCTCACTATTTATATGCTAATTTGCTATAGTGCCCATACTGCTTCAGTATAAAAATCATCGATTTGCTTGAATGTGGACATTTTATACTTTATCCATTTGGCTATTTATCGGACAAGCGAGCCAAGTTAAAACAATGTTTCCATTCTTGGATGTTCTCTGAAACAACTTTTGTTAGTGTTGTGCAATGTTCTTTATAGGTGTAGAACAATTCAGGATTTCAACATGGTGATTCATAGCTTAATTTAGCATCTGTTGCATCCTAATTTTTTATTCTTTGTTTTGTTTTTGTTCAATCATACATATGACATCATCCCTTCCACGAGTACTGAGATACACATCTCCATTTCTTGCATTGTTGAATCATCTATGGCCAGCCCTACTTTTTGTAGCTTCTTTGATATGATTATATACTGGTCACAGATGTACTTTTATTTAATTGTTGTAGCATTAAACTTAATACAATTTTGATCGTTTGTGCTTGGCCAGTTGAATTGAAAACATTTTTTGCAATTGTAATGTATAGTAACACTGAATAATGAATGTTTCACAGGATACCATAACATCACCATCTATAAGAAGAGTTCGTCGTCACAACAATAATGCTTTCGCTGTCGTGGGTAGGTATTGATTAATTTTTAATGCCAACATATTCCAGATTTTTTTCAAAATGTTTGGTATAAATATGTTAGATCAAGCGTGTTTCACACTACAAAAACAGATGAGTCGTGTTGCTAGGATATTTGTAAAATGTTAGGATGCTTTTGATATTCCTCGTTTTGTGTGTCATAATTTAGTTTGTTGCTCCACGATAGTCAGTAGTACTGTGTTCTGGATATTTATCTACTTTAGAAAATTATTTTTTGGTTAATGTAATACAGCAAGATGAATTGGGTTATGTTTTATGGTAATTTGTTAGGTAGGTTGATGATATCTTTATGGTGTTAAATTTGGATCTTCTGAAGTTTTCATTGCCTTTGAATAGTTTCATATGCATGAAAATTGTTGCAATTTTATTAGTAATACTTGTGTTTATTAGAAATGATCTTGATTAGCTAACAACAAAATGGATATATTATTCTCGAAGTTATTTCATAAATTTCTTTCGTTTTAATTACAGGTCCTGAATCGGTAAGCCAAATGTTATATTTGATTAATTTTTACTAATTTGAAAATAATTTTTTCATATTGAATAATATTTGTTTATCAACAAGTGTGTAAGGGAGAGGAAGGAATACATGCCTGATAACTAATTTAAAGTAATTGAGCAGATTTAACTTATTATGACAGATGATGTAATAATTGTGTTCACTGATTTTGTTTCAGTAACTCCTCTGATTTGTAAAAATAATTGCTTCAAATCTCCGAAATTTATAGAGGTGTTGCCTATTTTAAAGTCGTTTTTATGATATCTTCATACTTTGCCTGCAGAAGGTATACTGTGTTTGTTTTTACCTTTTTATGCAATTTTTCATTTTTCTGTCTTATTTATATTAGAGAGACAACAAAGCACGTTCTATCAGCCTCTGTGTCAATAACAATAATAATGCTATCAATGAAGCAGGTAAAATATTTTCAATGTTTTTATGAAGATTTGCATACTTCTTTTATATAACAAGCTGAAAGAATAAGGTTATTTAATTTTGTGATAATGTTATTCGAACATTATCACAAAATTAAGCAACATTATTTTTTCATCTTGTTATATATGAACCATAACCAAAAAAATCTAATTTTGATATAAAATTTTTTTGTAAGTTTGTTACTTTTTGTGAAAATGTTACTTTAATGGACTGTTAAGATCACTTAGTAAACTTAATGCATTTTGAGTTTGGGAAATTTCGACCCCCAATTGCAGGGAATTCAAAATGTTGACCCTACTGAAAAAAGCTTCTATTTACGATATAATGAGGTATTTCTGTTTCCTTAGTCCACACTATTGGACACTTTTGCAATTTAATTCGATTCCGAATTTATTGTATCAAAATCATTATACACGCCAAATTCTACGGGATGCAAGTTTTCAATTTCTTTGTATTCTATGTGAATACTCAAGAAACCTCCCTTTTTCAATGTTTTCATTTTTTCATCAACCCGATTATTTGACCATGTATTCAGCTACATTTTTACATATTATTTCATGTTACGTCATTTGTTTCAGATCGAAGGTTTACAATTAGTGAAGGACTGATCACAGAGTAAGTTTTTTTTTTTACTTTGTTAGATTTACTTGAAGCTGCTAACAGTAGTGAATCATTTGCTTGGGTTGGGGATTTGCTCGTCATTGGTGCTTCCATATGATATTCTTTCATATCATTTAGCTTTTGAATGCGGTAGTTCTATTGATACTTTTGTTCTTGTTTATATCAGTTTTATAAAATGTCAACAGAAATTATGTTTTACTCTTCTATTTATACTTATGAAAAATGAAGTTATGGATGAGCCTTATTTGTTTAAGCTCGGATATTGAATAGTAAAGATTTGTGTGAAACATTTAATGTGTTAATAATTAGTTTGCATCTGAAGTCACATGATTCAGATTTAACCTTGGATCTATGCAATATAAGATTACATGTTAAATTTATTATACCTTGTGAATCAGTGTTTCAGTACCTATTTCTGCTAACCCTCGACTGTTGTGATGTGATGTTCTAATAAAGATAATTTATTTCTGGATGACAGTATTGTTCACATATCAAAAACCAAATGTAAACTGGTTTTCAAAAAATTTTAGGCCAATTTTTCCCTTGTGAATCAGTGTTTCAGTACAATTTCATCTAACCCCCGATTGTTGTGATGTGATATTCTAATAAAAATAATTTACCTCTGGATGACAGTATTGTTCACATATCAAAAACCAAATTTATACAATTTATAATTTTCATGTTATTTATTCAAATTTACCCCTTTTTTGTGTATTGCTGTTTCTGAAAATATTATTTACTATTATACGTTATGCAGAAAACAGCGCAATTCTCTACTGGCATTACAAGAACTCATTCGTCAACATGAGTATGTTATTTGGAATGTATATATCATAAACAAGAAATAATATAATCACCATATTCATTGCACAATCAATTCACACTTGATAGCATGTAGAACACGAGTATTCCTCAGTCCAGGGATGTCTGAAACGAATCGAATATTCGGATCCATTCAAAGTCATTACAAAGTCAAAACATACAATATCTCAACTGCTAATGAACAAGAAAAAAACAATGTGTCGTTTTAGATTTATGAAGTGATTTATGTAATTTTCCACATGAACATGCTCTCAATTTAGAATTCAATATTTCAATATTTCAGAATATTTCATATTCAAAATTATTTTCTCAGAATGTATTCGAAATAGTAAAATATTCTGTATCGGACATCCCTGTTCCTCACATTATTAAGTGGTCGACAGTAGACACATATCTAATTTACCTATCATATGTTAAATGCATGCATGTTGGTATGGCAATGTTTCATTGTAACTGCATGTTAGTTCTTAGCATTGGAATGCTTCGCTACACCATAAGTACTTCATATATATATATATATATATATATATATATATAGGTTCAAATCACAACAAGCATATATATTTTCTATGTTGACTTTGATTGCCATTTTTTTTTGTTCAAAAATCTTGTAAAATATGCTCTGCACTCAATATCAGAAAAAAATTGATCTTGTAACATTCACTATTTCTGTTTTACATTTGTGCAATGGGCATAGTCGTCCATTCCATATACCACTTCTCTAAGATCTTCAACCCGCTTTTCTAATTCCAAATTACATGGAAAATGAGTGATTTTTACATTCAATGCTTGGGAATTTGAAATTAGAGGTTTTTTCAACAATGTATCAATCCTTTTTCCGAAACTTTCAGTTCAAAACTGTCATTTCTGCACCTTCAGATGACTGTACATAGTTTAAATTTGAGCTCAATATATTCTTTTTGAAACCACATTTATCAAAATACATACCGGTAATCATTATGCATTACCTACTTACTGTAGAAACATAATAACTAGAACAATGATGTTTTCCCTTATGGACCTCCTATATAAATCTACATATTTTTCACAAATCGCAATGACTCTCCCCACTTGTTGGAAACTTCTTCCTCCATCTCCTTCTGCAGCAAATATCTTATATTTCAAGTTTCAAAGTGTTGATGCTTGTATGATTATTCTCATTGTGCGCATTGCACCTTGATATTGGATTTCATAACTGCACGACTTTTTGAATGCCTGCTTGATTTGCTTGAAAATATTTGATGCCTCCAGCATAAGATAATACTAAGAAAATATGAATTCTTGCTGTATGTTGATAACTGCTCTTTAGCAGTTCCTCTTGGATTTCTGCTTTCTGATCATGTGCATTGGTCGCTTATTGCGTTTTAAATAATTATGAACATTTTTTTGCTTATTGCTGCCACTGTGATTTGTCGCATGAACAACAAACAGCGAATTGATCAACAAAGATAATAATCTGTTGGAAGATGGTGATGATGATGCTTTTTCTAGTGGCCCGAGACAAATGTCACTCGCAGAGTTTTTGTCTGAGTAAGTTGATGTAATTCGAAAGGAACTTCATATTTTCTGACACAACTATGTTGTTAACTTATTTTTGTTGATGAGTTGACGAAATGATACATAGAAATGAATTGAATATCTTTTTATATTGTCCTTGAAATTATGTTTGACGGGTAATTTTTGTTCTATGTTTATATATTAGAATGTTTTGGTTCAATAACTTTTACTTGAAATCTAGTGGTTTTTAAAAGGTAATCTATATAGTAAGCTGTTGTTAATTCACGTTATCATATTAACAGCTTTCATTAAATTAAACCATGCCAACATTGATAGCAAAATAATTATAGTATTTAATAATTGCTACCCTTAGAATAATAATTTGCATGGGTGGATGGAGAGCGCTTGTAGCTTGGTGAATAGAATGATAGTGCAGTGAAATAAGACTGAACTAATTGTAATTTTCATTATCATTGCATTCAGCTATGTAATTTAATTTGCATCATGCTTGGTGAACATTTGACTTAGATTGTCAGTGCTTTTTCCGCTACAGTAGTACATTGAGATCCAGTGTACTAATTTTTGCTATTCTTTAAATAGCTTGGTATGCTGAAACTTTCAAATTAATTTGTATGTACATTTTCCTGACCTTCGAAAACAATATTCTTTATGGAATGTTCTATCACCACTTTGAAAATCATTACAATAACGTAACTTTCCAAATCCAGTCCTGCAAACTTTGAAGCGGATGGGGACACCCCACCTCCACGCAAACCAGAAATTACGAGGGGGTACGCTGCCAAACCATTTGTTCCACCAAGACCACCTGATGCAGGACCTACAAGAAATATTGTGTCTCGAAAACTCAGCTTTCTATCCAAAATGAGGAACAGCACAAGAACTAAAACAAATGCTGGCAAAGATAGGGTGGGTAGAAGTATATTTATTTCTGTTTTTCTGATAAATTATAACAATTTTGATGCAAGATGACATCCGTTTTCTTAGTCCTAAGATATTACAGTCTTTTATGTTTTTCCATATATATTCTAAAGGATAGGACACTTTTTATAAGTCTTGACAAGTGTTCCATTCCAGTTACCAGTTCAAAAGTATAACAAATTGAAATTTTTTTCTCCAGGTCAAAAAAGGAACAGAATTAAAAGCCAATTCTATTCAGAAACCTTCAGCTGATGGTGGTAAGTTTTTATATTTATATATAGTGGAGTTATTTTAGGTTCCAGTTTACTGTCCCATATTTGAAAGGTGCATGCCTACGTTCAGCGGAAACTTTCATTTGGCAACTTATATTATTGCAGGTTGTATTTTGGCTATATGACAAAATACAGTTTTTTGAAATAATCACTTTGATATTGCATGCGACTATTGTAGACCATGACAGATGTATAACAAATCCTAATTTATTACTCAAATAATGGTATATAGTTACCATCAACTTTTTCTCTAAAATAAAAGATGTCATCGCTGTGTGCAAATTTACATAGAAAACTTGATTACGAGGCAATATGACAGCGGTTCCCAACTGGGGGCCACAGAGCAGTTGGCGAGCCACAATGCTGAGCTTATTAATACAAATTTCACTTTTCTCTTTACAAAAAAACTAAACTCTCCTTCTTCCTAGTTCCATTGCTTGATAAGGTGATTTCACAGAGTGTTTTCACTTTGTTGAACATGAATTATTTGAACATAATGAGATTTGGAAGATACCAATAAAAATAACACTATAAATACTACTGTAATGATAAACAGGGGAGCCACGAGTGCCAAAAGCCACCGAGCCATAAAAGGTTGGGAACCACTGCCCTATAATATAAGATCTATCAGGTATTCTGACTATGGACCTTTTATTTTAACGTGACATTTTGTACAAAGGACTTGTGGGAATCGAATACAAAGAAGTTATAATATCAAAAGCTTAGAGTAGTCATTGAGTCATAGAATTAACAAATCTATGTAAACACATACGCTGAATCAAACCTTTGTTGTATTTATCTTATTATTGAAAACAAATTAAAGAATTTAAATTTTTTTAACGTTTTTGCTATTCTATTAGGGTTAAGGTGGATTTTTAAATAATAATTATTTTGTATCGGCAAAATACAAAGATGTAGTTTGTGAATAGGTGATTTCCGTTCTTTGATTTTGGTCGCCCTTTTGTTTCGCGTTGTTCAAAGCTCCTCGTCGACACCGACCGCACGATGGAGCCCCAAATCAACTGAATACTAGCTGTACGTTTGTGAATTTATTGCAATTCTTGTATTTCGAAAGCTGCCGAATATGTTACCTCCTCGTAAATCAACGTTTTATCGTTGCTACAAGACATACCGTAAATGTTCATTGTAATATTCAATGTTCGAATTATGGATATATTTCAAGAAGCAGATATGCTATATTGTCTTTACTCGAAATGGAGTTATTAGTGACTCAATATGCACTCTGTCCCATATTAATACAAAGGCCACTTTCAAGTTTTGGACATTTCCAATTTTATTTGAGTATCATATACTTACTTACTCCATTTTATCTCTATGGTGGGCAACTATCATCTCACAATATCTAGACATGAAAAGTCGCCATTGGACATTGAAATGACTTTGATCTGGTGTCTTTTGTTTACTTTTTGTATGCAGAAAAGGACTCGCCCCGATTGAAATCGTTACGAGATTATTTCCGAAATTATTCTCGAAATTATTCAGGATTATTTCAACTCCGACACAGTTTGAAAGTTGGTCAAAGTGAATAGAGGAGTGGTCTGATGGAAGCGTGCCATGCCACCGATTCTATGATCATATTAGTTATATTGGACTTGCACAATAACACAAAATAACTTACAGTAGTATGTTCGTTTATATTCCTATTTAACGAATCAATTGAAGTCGTAAATGGCTGACCACTCCTTTTCTTTCCGCCTTGTTGTCGCCGTTATAACGTCACGTCCCCAGATTTTACAGACATGTGCAACGGAGCGCGAAAAAAATTAGTTTGTGCCCTTTTTGCAACAATTATGGTCAATGTGGTTAATTGGGTCTCGGTCACATTAGCCTAGGTTTTTCAATGGCGCATGTTCGAACGGATATAAATAATGATAGCTTCGATCTGTTCTATACTATTCATCCGTAATATTTTGTTACATTTATCAAGCGCACACACCAGCTTTGAACTAATTTTCGTTGGTATGATATGTAAATAGCAGGTTGTCATCAACCTATTATTCCAATTACCGCGCGAATTTTGCTTCGTACCATGTCACGCCATTCGTCGTTTGAAAATAATGCCACGCCAATATGCCTATTGTCATATTATTTCGATGAAAACTTAATAAAATTTAAATGGCTTAGTACGATGTGGTGCGTTGCAATGGAAAGATATTAATATGGTTTGCTAGTTCTTGAGTGAAATTCGACATTTACATTTATAATTGTTTGGTTTATGCTGATTGATACCGGTTGCGCGAAAGATTGTTTTAAAACGATTTAGTAACGAATTTTTATGGATAAGTGTTGACACTTTTGTAGAGTTTTCCCACTGAGAGATTACCTTTCGAAACGATTCCATGCTTTCGAATAGGATGAACAGAGCATTACGGGGTTCCATACTTATCAAGGATCATTACTTGACATAATTTATCATATCACTGAGTTATTTCTATTGACTGATTCTAAAACAGCTCTATTCGCTGTTAGAACGTGATGAACAATAATTAAGATGTGAGGGCGATCTACGTAGATTTAGCAACCAGACAAGCAACGAGAGTTACAGGTTTATTTGCATTTCTCTATGTAATTTGCTTCCTTTATTACACCAGTATTTTTAGTATATTAGAATCCTAGCAACTGTTATAAGCAAATGGATTAGAGCGTGAGAGCTACACGTTAAAACGTGCAATGCGAGATTCCATCAGTTTTATTTGTAATAACAGGTTGTTTTAGGGCAAAGCCAGTAATAATTACAATGTACTCCACATTTGACAGTATATTGGAAACGGGAACGATTATAATGCCATCGCCAATGCCCAAATTCAAGTTGGCATTACGATAAGTAAAAAGGCCTGTGATAGGGACGTATTCAATTCTTAAGAACGCAGCTTTAGTGCCAAAAAACGCTCGATTACTTATAGCAAGGACCAAGTACTGCATATATATTTCTTGTTTTACAACTACATTTTACTATTTATTGATCCAAACCTCTAACGTTCGTTCCTGTTAAGATAAAGATAGTATATCACGAACAACTATTTCCATTACCTTAACTATAGCTTCACTTCTGTTATTCCCAATTGAATCGTTCTGTTAATCGATTGAAGCATTTCTATTGATAAGAATGCGAAAGAGGTAAATCATACAAAATTTTACAGCAGCCGTTTCGGTTTCGAAATTTTGCTGCTATTATATCGCGAACAAATTACCTTATCAACTTGTTGGCCCTTCCATAGTACTTGCCAAGAAATGTCCCTCAGAAAAAAACGCTCCCATGGCGACTTTTTTTTCATGAGCAATACTTGGTCGTGGGGCTACGATTGCGTTTACTGATTTTTATAGTGCACTGTGGACATACAAGTTCTGACTAAAATGGTATGGACAAGAAATAACTGATGCATTTTCCTACTGGAAGTAACTTTAAGCCAATGCAATCAATTTGCTAACTTAAGTGCTTTACGGAGCATTAAATAGGAGCTGAAAATGTTGATATACCTCGTGTAGCATACTCTTATAATAAATTTTAAATATTATGTAATCTGTGTCTGATTTCTACATGCTTTTCACACCATTGGGATTAAGTGATATCATGCATGCATTTCCTGCAAAATGTCAATATGTCGCAGAGTTAATAGGTTGTTGTACCATTAATTAATTGTGTGATTAATTTTCGAAACCTGAAAGTTTACGTCATATCCGAATTTAGTATTATACCGGGTATGACGATTGCCTCATTGATTTCGAATGATTTTTCTTTTTCTACTTTATTGTTCTGTTTTATCGAATGGCATCGCGTATTCGTGCGTTTGCGGCTTATGTCAAAGTTTTAATTTTTATTCCGCACAAGATGTGGACGAACCTTGTATATTCAGAAGCTTATTGAATTTGGTTATCCAAACAACAATACTGAATAATATTCCTTGTCCTGTTTGTTATCTTATGGGATTACGCTGCGCTGTATATTTGTACTACCATTGGCAGGGTATTTTAAGTATAAAGATGAATTACTGTATTTGATTTACTTGCGAGTTTAGGTTAAGATTACTTTTGAATGTTTTCAAAAACAATCCTGTTTTAGATTATACACCAACAATACGACAAACAAAACAAAAATGTTCAAAAGCAATTTTTTTTTTTAAATAAGTTGATCATACACCAACAATACAACAAACAAGCCGCTTACTCTTATTAGTCGATATATCCCGATTTCCTAGAAAATTCTGTGTATTCCACTTAAATAACGCTTGTGATACATGTTTCACGTCATTCGTGACGTCAGTGCCGTCCTTTTGGAATCACGTAATCGATTTTTCTTTCAATTTTAACCGATAACAAGTTGGAGAATTTCCCAACTAGTAGGCGGACGATTACGCCTAAAAGAACAATAGCAAGGAGATCCCTAAAGTAAATAGGGAAACAAAAAGAATCCTTATCTACCCACTTTCCATTGAGCTGTTTTGCCTGGTCGTCTGGTAGAATTTATATTAAAAGCAGGTGGTTGTGTATATATATTTCGTTGTAGTTTTAGCCCTGATTTTGTACTTATAATGGATATATTATATAAATATAAAAAAACTGCATCAGATCTGGTAAGCAAATAGGTGTAATAAATTTAAGTTCGCCGCGATGATTGTTATTTTAGATGAATAAGCCAATTTTTCGTATTAGTCAAGGTAGATGCTCGAACTTATGTAAGTTCGATAATTTGAATTGTCTCATTGCCACTGATTAGATGATAACATAGGCAATATAACGTTACTGAGTGAAGGACGGACAGTTTGACATAATCAAAACAAATCATAAACTAGATTTCAGACGCCATGATAAAAACCTAACCTAGGGCCATGATCAGACACAGACGCTATGTCACGAAATTATCAGCAGTTATCCGTGATGAAATACCGGGTTATGTTTAATTCCCACTTTGAAACTCTAATATATCACTGGCCCGTATTTGGTCGTGTTTGAAGATAATTTTGGATGAGGTATTGTTAGGTGCACGCATTTTCTATTCCAGTACAGTTCATGTTAATCTGTGCCAAAATATATGGAATCGATCAGCTAACCACCTGTGTATAGCTGTTTTGACTGTTCGGAAGATAACACCGACTTGTATTCAGTGTGTAAAGTTCGGTTACAGTGTTGTGCAACGTATTTTGTACTGAACTT